AGCCTCCTGCCGTCGCCTCTGGGACCGCGGAAGTCTTCCACACTTCTGTCGGTACAAAGCTGCAACTCTGTGTCCTCAGAGCCGCGACAGAGGTGAGTGACACTGGGCTTTGTTTATGTCCATTTATCTGGTGGGCTTGACTGCCGAGTCAGACTGTTGTTTCGTTGAACTTTGTTTACATCTTCTAACAGCAGCTTGAATGTCTCAATGTTAACTAAACCAATCTGCATAATGAATTTTGACTTTCGATACTTTAAGTATTGATGCCTATGCTTTTGTACTTTAACTTGAGTAACATTTTAATTGCATTTACCTGGTATTCTACTTCATTAAATAAAAGATCTGAGTACTTCCCGTCTTAAAACAGCAATGATGAGCCTAATGTCCAATGTTACTACAAGGTGACAGTGGTCATCAGCTCCCACATCACCGCACTGAGCAGTAAGTGAAGAAGTAGGCCCTACGCGATGTTTCCACTTAGAAAGTAAAACACCAATACTCAATTACACGTAGAAAATCCTGAAATTAAAAATGGTGGCGACTTGAGTTGAAGTACAGTAGAAAGGAAAATGCAAGTAGAATGGCAAAATTAGTACTTAAGTACAAACTGTTAAAAGTACCTTGTGACGTTCCTCAACCTGTGTCAAAGTGTAGACTGGGTCAGGGTGGTCAGTCTAATTTAACTCCTGGTTCAGAGAATAACCCTCGGATTGCACGCTGCTGAGGGGACGGTTTGACACTGATTGGAATGCTTTAAATCAAGCGTGCTTTGAGAAAGGATCCAAAATTATCAACATCATAAGGTCAGGTTTAAGTTCAGTTAAAAGTGTCCGTCGTCGTGTTCAACATTTCTATAAAACAATACCTTTTCCTATCTTCTATACCCACTCTACTGTGCCTCCTGGAGCTAAAAGGAACATCTACGTAGGCATGTCTTACAGCCCCACCAGCTCAGTCATGAAGGCAAGGGCAAGTTCTTAGGATTACATACAAGGCCAGTTGAATTTGGGAGGCTAGGCGGAGTGAGTATTAAAGGTTCAGGAACACCCTTATAGCTAACAAGAAAAATAGAATGGCAGCTTTGTAAAGGGCGGATCTTTTGCCCTGTGCTCATTTCCCTCGATGCGTCCCTTCGCAGAATGCACAGTAATTATCGGTGGGTAGCACTACGCACGGTAAACCACCGGGTATAGGCCTCGTGGAATAAAGACTAATGTGTTTGAATGAAAACACCGTTATTACAGTGCTGTGCCAATTTTCTATGGTCTTGGTCCTTCTTCGGTCAGACGTTGTCCTTCAAATCATTATTTTTATTGTGTAATTATTTAAAAAAAGTCCCAACAAACAATTATTTGATTATTTTATATATCGTATTCTTATTAATCTTTAGTCCATAAAATTGCTCAATATAACCTTTAGAAAAGTCATCACATTTGGAACCATGACGTTGGCAGTATCATCAAATGTGTCCGATTTATTTAGGTGTTTCTTGTTCAGTCAAAATTTTCATGCCATGTTCATAACTTACGACTATTGTGTCAATGTAGACCAAGAATGTTTTTGTGATACGCCCTCACAGTACGTGTTGGTGTTGGTAATTTCAAATATGACATCTATGATGACACTTCAGGCTGGAAACGATCATATATCGCATTTCTTGTTATTTGTTAACTGATACAGAGAAATGCATTTTTGGCGTGTTCATTTTAAAGGGCTTAAATAGTTTGCCAGCAAGATTCCCCTCTAAGTGTAATCGTTATAGAAATACATTAAGTACCACAGAATGTATAAGATGTGCTAAACACTAATTGCTGGTAAAACAAAATTTTGTGACATCCCTCCACTTCCCTCTTGAAACACACAGCTCAGGTTCGGTTTAATCACCAAACAGTAAAATACCATATTAATGAACATAACAGAGAATTTGGATTGGACAACTTAGCATCTACGAAGCGTGAGATTAGGAGTGGCCGAAACAAAAGCAGATAGTAATTTAAAAGTGGTACTAAAAAACTTTTCTAATGTTAAATGAATTAGTCGTAACATTACAACATAGGATAACAAAGAAGAACTCTCAAAGCTACACCATAATGGTCCAAATGGTCCCTAAAACATGTATTTCATCAGTCTAAACATTGCTTGAATGAGGTAAGATAAAAATGCCTCTTCCGGTAATTTAAACATGTATCATCTTTTATAAAGACCAATACTGTTTAACTTGA